TGGGAAAAATACAACCTCTTCAACAAATGTTGCTGGCAAAACTGGACTGCTATCTAGAGAAAGATGAAGCATAATCCATATATCTGTCACACATTACACACACAAAAAATCTGCTTAATGATAAGAGACATGGGAAAAGATCCTAAAACCATAAAGTTCATAAGAGGCAAAATTGTACCAAAATTAGAAGGCCTACTCTGTCATATAAATAGACTGATAAGTATAGATAGAAATGAACAATCTGGAGAAGATAAAATTTATGAAAGGCACTTTCTAAAGGTTAAAATACCTATCTGCTCATCAAAAACTTTTATAATATGGTGAAAAGAAAACCTACTGATGGGGGAAAAACATATTTGGCAATACCATCTCAAACTAATGTTTCATAACAAAATTCTGCAGAATACTACTGGACTTCCAGAAAAAAAGACTGAAAATCCAATTAAAAAATAGACAAATTATATGGAAAGACTTTTCACAGAGAAAGACATTCAGATGACCAATAGACATGTGAAGAAATGCTCAAAATCACTAACAATAAGAGAGATACAAATCAAAACCACATGAGATAACATCTCCTCCGGTAGCAGTGGCAACGTTTAGCAGGGCTGCAGAGAGGATGTGAAGAGGTGAGGAATCTCATACACTGCTGGTGGGATTGTTAAATGGTGTAACCACTTTGGAAGGCAGTTTGGCATTTCCTCAAAACGCTGGACATAGAAACTCTGTAGGACTCAGCTATTATACTATTAGGAATATACCCCAAGGCAGTTAGAACTGAGACACAGAGATTTGTACACCCATGTTCATAGCATCGTCATTCACCATCACAAGAACATAGAAATAACACAGATGTCCAATCACAACTTCTTGTTGTTATGTGCTGTGATATTGCCTGCAACTCATAATGACCCTATGTACAACAACCCCAAATCCCACTCTATTCTATGCTGGTAGTATTGTGTCTGACACAACTACCTCCCATTACCCTAGTCACTGAATTAGTCTATCTCATCAATGATCTTCCTCACCTGTGCTGTCCCTCCACCTTCCCAAGCATGACTTCCTTCACCAAGGACTGGTCCCTTCTTGCAACATGCCCAAAGTATATCAGATGAAGCTTCATAATCCTTTCCTCCAAGGAACAGCCTGATTTAACCCTCTTCAGGATGAACATGTTTGTTCTTTTAGCAGTGCACGGTATATTCAATATTCTTCTCCAACACCACATCTCAATGGCATCAATTAATTAGATTGAGAAATTGTGGTACATTAACCCAGTGGAATAGTATGCATCACTCAGGCCAATGATTTTAAAACATATTACATAACCTGGGGAGACTGGAAAGCATTTTACTGAGTGAATTAACTCATTCTCCTAAAGACAAATATTGAATCAGACCGTTATTGTAAAAATAGAAAAATAACTAGTAAAACATGTACAGGGGTCCAAGGGTGGAAGCAGTGGGAGCTGAGAGGTGAGGATGGGTAGAGCAAAATCACGCTTGCACAATTTGATGGGGGACGGGGAGATAAAGGAAAAGGGAAAGATGCAGCAGAGGCCTGAAAAGACAGGGTAATGATGGCCATAGTCCAATGATGACTAATTTTATAAAGCATAATTCATGGAAATGGTTGTGTAAAACCCAATGTGGATGAAGAATAGTGTGAGACATAAGCTATAAAAACTTTGTAAGTAAACCAATATAAAATTAAAAAAAATTAAAAATTGGATGCTGCTTAGTTAATTTAGGTCGCTATACATTGCAGGTGATCCAATGGCACATAACAACAATAACATACTATTATGGATTTGGAGGCAGGACGGGCATCCACTTCCTAAATGACATGCCTCTGGAAACTCAAATCAAGGCAAATGTACATAAAATGATATCAAAAATTTTATGTCCCTGTATTTTTATCAAATGATTTTACGAAGTAGATATCTAGAGCTTTCCTCTTTAAAAATCAATAATTACTTATTATTCTTTTAGTTTAACTATTACTTTTTGAAATAATTGTATTTATGTAAACTTTCCACTTGTACAATCATCAGCACATTAGGTAATTATATTAGTAATAATACTAAGTACAATAGCAAATATTGACTATTATAAATGACATTGGCTGTAGATGACACTGTGTGTGTACTGTTATTTAAACTTATTGAAAGTGGAAGAGCAACTAGAGGGTATATCTAAAGGTTACCTAAAGGACTATAAATAGTGTGTTAACTTTCGCATGCTATGTATGCTCCATACTAGTAGACAAAAATAATAAGTCAAACTAAATTAAAATTAAAAAAATATTAAGTCAGCAGTAACAACACTAGAGGACATAACTGCTCCATAAGGTTTTATAAGGTGTAAGAACACCTGGTAGCATAGTAGGTTATGTCTTGTCTCCTAAAGGGAAGATCCATTGGTTAAAATGCACTAGACTTTCAATGGGAGAGAGATGGAAAATCTCCTAAATAGATGCACAACCTCAGAAAGCCAACAAAGGGAGAGGTGTGATGAGTTGAAACCTACTCAAGGACAGTGGATGAATTCTTATAAAAAAAAAATCAGAATTTTTCTCCTATGGAGCAGTTGATAACTAAGAGCTTAACTGATACCACCATTCCATAACAACGTATCAAAGTTCAAATAAAACTATGTTTACAACAACAAATGATATGCTGCTTTGACCCATGTATGTAGTTTACCAACCTGTAATCTAAGAGACATAGTTGTGAAGTTAAAGCACAAAGTTTCAAGTATTAGTTAAGGTATTAATAAAGTAAATCTAATTTTCAGAAAGAACAAGATTTGAGAAGATGGTTTGCAAATTGTTCATCTACACTTTGAATACATTAATATTTTGATATATTAGAGATTGATTTTATTATATTTATAGTGAGAATAATTACTTGGTATTGAATTATAACAAAAGTCATTGTAGTAAAGAATCAAACTGGAAATGAATGTTACACAGTCATTTTGTTTCCCATGACTGTTTAAATGATTGGTAAACATGTTGAGTGCAACAATGGGTTTAATTGTGCCAGATTGTGAGAATAGCTTGGGTAGTTGACAAAGTTCAAATCAAGGTTCATATGGTTGCTGTGAGTCATACTCAGCTTGATGACCCCTAACAACAATGAAACAGTAATATTGGTAATATTGTTATTGTTTTGTGTCATCAAATCGTCTGCGACCCATAGCAACCCTATGTACAGCAACTCTGCCCTGCCCTGTGCTGAGCCAGTCTCACTAATTATGACACACTTACCCCCATTGCCCCAGTCACTGTGTCAGTCCATCTAATCCGGGTTCTTCTTCTCTTGCACTCCTTCCAATCATAGTGTCCTCCAAGGACTGGGCTTTTCTGGCCACATCCCCAAAGTATGTGAGACTGAGCTTTGCTGGTGCAAGAGGGTTGATTGTAGAACCAAGAAACCTCAATCTCTTCTCCATCTATCATGGTGCTGCCAATTAGCCCAATGGTGAGAATCTTTGTCTTCTTAATGTTGAGCTTCAATCCATATTGAAGATTACAGTCCTTGAATTGCAGCAAGTGTTTCAAGTCTTCTTTTCAGCAAGCAAAGTTGTGTCATCTGCATAACGTAGGTTGTTGATGAGTCTTCCTCTAATCCTAATGCTACATTCCTCCTCATAAAACCTTGCTTTCCGAATGATCTGTTCTGCATATAGAGGGAAAAGATATATGGAGACAGAATGTATTCCTGACACACTCCTTTCTTGATTTTGAACCATGCAGTGTTTCCCTGCTCTGTTCTGAGGACTGCTCCTTAGTCCAAGAATAGGTTTCACATAAGTAAACTCAAGTGTTCTGGGATTCCCATTTTTCTCAAGGTTAGCCACAATTTTTGTGATCCACACAGTCAAACGCCTTTGCATAATGAAACTCAGGTAGACACAATATGCTACTAAAAAAATCAAAATATCAGTTACAGCTCAATAAAATATATAGAATAGTGTTTCCTTTTCTTTTGAAAAAGTCATTGAAATAAGAGTTGAACATTCTTGTCTTCCTTTTCAGCATTTGAAAAATCATTGGATATATATTTTAATCCAACTTTGTTGATTTGAAATAGATACATTAGAAATAATTAAAGTTCAAAAATGAGGAAGTTTTGGAAAAGCCATAGGCTTGATAATATAAAATGTCAAGACTGAACTCATTCCGCATTTCTCTCAAGATTGCTATATATACTGTTAATACAATGTAGTTAAGAATGAATCTATTAAAGCACCACGTTATTGCAATAGTGTATTCTGTCATCAGTTACATAGTTTCTATCAATAAAATAAATTTTATTAAATTACATGTTATATTCTCAATATTTTACTATAGAAAATTTAAGTTGTTAGTGTTGGAATGCTCTGAAAAATGCGTACAGTATATGTAGTTTACAATTTTATATATAGTAATAGTTCTACAAATATACTTTCAGAAATGCATTTATAAAGTCTAAAAATGCAAGCTAAATTAGCTTTATATAAGTGATTTAAGATGTAACTTAAGCATACAATTTTCAACATGCTATGAGAAATAATACCATTGGCATAAGAAATCAGTGAATGAGCACGATATTATCCCTTCTTATTTCATAGACTTTATACAAAACATGTATATAAAAAGCTATATGAATGTCTTCCAAATGTAAATTTTTAAGGGAATTTCTAAGGAACGATATATTTAAATAGCTCCCATCATTAGTTGTGTGATTATACTAATTCCATAATTAAGTGGATTGGCTCATTGTAAGTTTTAGTTAATAATAATTTTAAGTTAAAAAAAGAGTAACACTCTATATTTAAATCCAGAAATGCTTATTACTTGGAAAGGCGTTGTGGAAAATTTAATCATCTGCACTTAGAGACTTTTGAATTTGAAAAGGATCACAGACACCTGATTAAATTCACAGTGTCTTTGTGCTATTTTGAGGGAGTGGGATCTCTTCCTTATCTTGGGCTTTCTTGTTTGCTTTTCAGTTGCTGCGAATGTGGCTGTGGGAGGGCTTCTTCCCTGTGCGCTGTTGCCCATCCAAGCCTAATATGGTTAGTGTCCCCCTCCCACTTTCACTCCTATGTAATGTGCCACATATATGTATTACTGTCAGCATTCTTTTTATTTTTCCATCTGTGTACATTTTAAAAGTTAGTACACTGCTTGTGCTTGAATAATTTGAAGAAAAGAATTAAACTATTTCCCAAAGCAGAATCACAACTGATTTCACAGTGGATTATTTAAAATAAAATGGTATATATATTTGATCATCCCTGTGTCATATTTCTATCCAACCCTCTCAAGGGAGTTTGTGGCATTTGTTTTACATTTAACATGTCACTGTTTTTTTTGTTCCATTAAATAAAAACCATATCATACATAGAAGTAGAATGCTACTTCTAGAAAGGGGGAAAAATCACTTTTGTGTGTATCTCCTCAAACCATGGAATAACCATCACATAAACAAGATTTGACTTGTCATAATTATTTTGGATAGATATGACCTTAAAGAACAAAACTAAATCCAGTTATAGTGTATCATTCAATGTTAAGCTTGTGTTACCACAGATATTATTAGAAGTGTTGTTTCTACTTTTATTTCAGCACACTAAAGCATATGCATAATTTTTGGTGTTAGAATCCAAATGGGAGAATTATAACTGGTTACACATAAAATATTAAATATGTATCTGTTACAGTGATAAAATGAGGCTGGAGCATGAGACCAAAAATAAATCCATTCACTTAGTTAGTGGGACTCTGAAGTAATAACTAGCTATCTTATAAAAAGTTAAATATTCTTTATAGTTATATTTTTAAGTAAAAGTAAACTCTTAATCTTGTACTACAGTAATTTGTTGTTTGTAGTAAAATTTTTCCAAGAATAAATATTCTGAAATATATTTTAAACTATAATTTTTTCCTCAAACATTTTAAGAATTCCTTCCAGTATCTTAGTATAAATTATTTTTGTTGATTAAAAAAAGTATGTGTATGAGTGGGTTTACATATATTTGCATGTGTGATAAGTGGCAGAATGGATACAAAAGACTTTCTTAGAACAAGATTGAGTAAACATGCACAAATTAATATTATTTGAAGATTTTCTTTTTAAATTTCTTGAAATATATATGTACAGATAAATCTTTCAAAATGAGAAAGAACTTGTCTTAAAAAAATTTGTTTTAAAGCAAAATTAGTGAACTTCATGTGAACTTTAAAAAAAGTAATGCATGTTATTAGTTATCTCAAATCAGTTAGGCTAACTCAATATTTACTATGGTCTGAAGGTCCAAAGTTATTAAAAATTGCTTTTGAGCACTATGTAAATTGAATTTTCTATATGAAATGTTCAGTTAGAATTTTATATTCCATACACATAGCAGGCAATTTATATATCTACCTTTAGAAAGCACTTTTATCTCCTGTACTTTAGGCTTTATAAAGGAAAATAGTACTTCCACATAATATTGCTAACAGAAATCTTGTAAATATAAATTGCATCCACTGTTTTTTCAATTTTGTGTGAAAGCAAAAATTTTCTTACAATTTCAAGAAATCTGCATCTAATATAGAAAATGAAAAGTACAAATTTTAAGCAAATTAATGAAATGTTTCAGAGCAGTTAATTAGCTTTTGGCCAGAAAAAAAAGGGTCGTTTGGTTTTTAACTCCTACACTGTGATAGAAACTAAAGTTCACTTATATCTTCCATGAAAACACAAAACATAATAAGCAAAGTATGCAAACAATAAGCAAGCAAATGAATTTTTTTAAATGTGATTGATTTGCTGAAGATAACAATACAGTCTTAATAAATTAATGATTTAGCATATTGAACTATCTTTTGCTTGCCACTTGAATCCCTTCAAAGAAATAGTAAATGGAATAAAATACTGGGAACTGTGAAAGCTAATGAATGACAGAAGTACCCTAAATTTTTAAAAAACTCATAAAATACAAGTTAAACTGCTTTAGAGCCATGAAATAGTCATTATTAAAAGAACAGAAGGAAAGTAGAAATACTCTGTCATAAAGAACATATTAGAAAATGTATAATTTCTTGCAATTTTTTTCTTATTTCTTCAAATAATGTATGAAACTGCAATGGCAGTGAATGCTGTTTATTTGTATGCACATATACATTTTGGTTTGTTTGTGTGTGTGCATGTGTGTGCAAAACAATGGTGATAATGATGACGATTTAACCAAGAATGTGCTAAGTATTTGTAACCTTTCTGTCAATATTCATAAAGTGACTATTAGAAGAGCTAGAACATTTTGTGTGTGTGTTTGGTTTGATTTTTAAAACTTTCTTATAAAAGCAAAGCAAAAATCACTGGTTTTGCACATTGGACAAGAAAGATAAAGTTTTCAAGAATAATTTCTAGTAAGAAGGAAAGTTAAAAACACTTTGTTATTATATTTCCTGAAATTCCACTTTTATCACTTCAGGTTACTAAGAGGTTTCAAAAAAGAATACAAGTTGTTTAGATTAGAACACTGAAGAAAAAAACAAACTTGGACTATGATTATTAAAAATGGAGAAGCATCATAAAATACTGAAATCTGATCTAATTGGCAGGAATCATAAAAGAGCAAGGAAATACACCATGGCTCAAATCAGGAAAAGAGTGTGTCACAGATATCCATACCATTTAAATCTATATACAAAACAGATCGTTCAGGAGACTGGACTTTATGAGGAGGAAAGCAGCATCAGAATTGGAGGAAGATTCATCAAAAACTTGTATTATGCAAATGACACAATCTTGCTTGAAGCATTTGCTGCAGAGGGTCACAAACTGTAGTCTTCAATATGGATTGAAGCTCAATATTAAGAAAATGAAGATTCTTACAACTGGTCCAATTGGCAGAATCATGAAAGGAGAAGAAGAGACAGAGATTGTTAACAATTTCAGCTTGTTTGGTTCCACAATCAACCCTTTTAGTATCAGCAGTTATGAAATCAAAAGACAAATTGCATTTGAAAATCTGCTGTCAGGGACCTCTCCAGAGTATTAAAGAACAAAGGTTTCAGTCTAGAGACTAAAGTTTGCCTGGTCCATGCCATGATGTTTGTAATTACCTGTTATGCAATTACCTAGTATCAGAGAGCTGGACAATGACCAAAGAGAACAGAAGAAAAATTTATACCTTTGAGTTGTGGTGCTGGAGAAGAGTACTAAACATATCATGGGCAGCAAAGAGAATAAAACAGGTCTGTCCTGGAGAGAGTGAAGCCAAACTGTTCCTTGGGTGCAAACATTTTTTAAGCTCCATTGCATACATTTTGAGAATGTTGTCTGGAGGAACCAGTTCTTGGAGAAGGACATCATGCTTGAAAGGGTCTAGGGACAGCACAGGAGAGAAAGTCCTTGGATGACATGGATTGACACAGTAACTTGGATAATAAGGGTAGGTTTGTCAGAAACAGTGAGGTAGCATAGAGCAAGCTTCAGAGTTTTTGTGAATAGGTTCACTATGAATCATGATCGACTCAAGCGCACACAACAACAACAACAAATATATAATATGCCTTTGAGCTGTGTGTGGTGCTGAAAAAGAGTACTGATCATACCATAGACTGCCATAAGAACAAACAAGTCTGGCCTGGAGATAGTGAAGCCACGCTGCTCCTTGAAGGCAAGGATTTTGAAGCTCTATCTCACATATTTTGGCCAGGAGGGGACATTCCTTGGAGAAGGCCATCATGCTCCGGAGGTTTTAGGGACAGTATCAGAGTAAGACACAGGATGACATGGATTGACACAGAAACTGAAATAATGGGGGTAGGTGTCGGAGACAATGAAATTGACAAAGGATTGGATAGATTTCAGAGCCGTTTAACAGAGATAGGATCATTCTGAGTTTCAGGCAATTGGAAGGCACATAAAAACAAACAATATACATAATATCATCGTGCTTAACTTAAACAAACCATTATGCAATTTATGTGATTTTTTGGGGTGAGTCAGTATGTCAGAATCGGAAGATGTGGATAAAATGAAGAAAAGTTTTTTCAAAGAAAATAAAATCCTTTCAACATCAGTAAGAATTAGTTTTCTTCATAGGAAAGAAAGAACCTCTAGTGTCATTCTTGAATTTTTTCATCTTTTATACACTTTCCAAAAGTACAGATAAAATATTTTAATAAATTTGAAAAATAGAAGAGCAGAGAATTATCTGTTTCTAAACCAACACTGCATATGTTTAGTCTTCAAGAAAGTTCAATATAAAACCAATCCTTCTTCCACTCTTGCAGAACTCTCTAACTTCATTAAAGTGAAAAACTATTCAGTGCTTAATCTTTCTATGAACTAAGATTGTAACAAATGCTTTTCTTCAGGCTATTTTTGATCAAGGATTCACATTTTCTTTTGAATTTCATTTCACTAGTTTTTCCTTAGAAGAAAATGGGTAGGCCATTCCTATAAATATAAACACAACAGATATTATATCATTTCCAAAACTCATTTAAAAAATGAAATGGAAAAAAACCCAGAAAGCTTCTATATGTACACCAGAAGGTAGGATGCATAATTTATATACAGAATGGTATATGTATTGACTTTTTGACTGGCTGATATAATGCATGTGAAGCAGGCATACCTCTGACATTGAATGAATAGGCTTTCTGCAATGCTTTGCTAGTGAGGTTGAACCGTTGCTTGAATGCTGGTCTCTGCCAGCTGCAATTTTGCTTGCTGTACTTTGTTCAAGCATATTTTAATCACGCTTTTGGGGGGGTTTCAGAACTTAATTTTGTATGTTAATAAGACCTGCAACTGTATCTATTATAGAACTCTGGGGATACCCATAGTAAAAAATAACTTTCTTCTATTACTCTCTAGACTCTCACCCTAGGTAGTAAAATGCTAACAGTTCTTTACCAAGGTATTCCCAAAACATTTTTTAAGGAGATAACTAAAGTTTTATTTCCATTTTCATTGGAGAAATTTGCATACAATTTAAATTTTCATGAGGCTTATTTAATGATAAGGACGATTTCAGGATACAACTTTAAAAAAATCAATGTGTGTGTGTGTATTTGTGACTTTTAAAAGTAGATGATTTGAAAAGTGGACGTTTGTTTTCTAATGTAAACAGTAAAATGTGTATGCTGTTTAGCTCTCTTAGACAGTTTTATAAACAAAGGGGTTTTTCGTCAGTGTGATATAAATGACAAATCTTTGTATTTCACCCATTTATGTTTAGTATATTGATAATAAAAAAATCAATAAACATGCTCTCTAAAAACATTGACATAGTAAGGTTATGTCAAGTAGTTTTATAATCAATTTATCAAATTAACTTGTCTCTCAAGTTTGAAAGACTAAGTGATGTTTCAATAGGATATCAGTTCCAGGCTTGACCACACTTTTCACCATGGTGTTTGTCACATGACACCTAAATGACTTTAATATGATAAATGCATTTGAGTTTGATTGACACAATTTTTAAAACAACCAGATCTTCACTGGATTCTTAGCTAACTTAATTTTTTTTCCTTTTATATGTATAAAATGAGCTTAAATGTAGTCAAGAATTACTAAGTGTTGTTGACTAGCAAGGTAATGGAGTCCACAGGGATTTATGCTGCTGACACAAAGGCGGTCCCCCTCTCTGCTATTCAAAATTACCAGTGGCTCCACAAGAGAATTATGGTCATTCTTCTTTTATATGATTCTTTTTATGATTCAAATAAAATGCGGTTTTACATGAAACCCAGTGGAGGGGTTGCTATAAGTTGATTCTGATGCAACTGTAATGAGTTTTGAGAATTTACTACTAAGTTATTGAACATGAGTAAATCAAGGCGATATTTTTTGTTCAAAACCAGATTACAGTAACTATTTATTTAAAATGTTACATAATTGCTGACTAGGAAATGGTATAAAATAAGTTTTCTTTGTTTGCCAAAATATATAACTACTTATAATACTTAATCAAAGAAAAATTCCCTTTAATGCATGTCTACTGGGCATATAATTTATATCACTACCCACTGAAATCTCCTCCTGGTAGGATTTCAGCCTCAGAAAACCAATGAAGATTGTTATGCATCAGGTTGACTCAATGACAGTGATTTTTATGGCTTTAATGAAATTTCTAGTGAAAATATTTTATTAGTCTTTCATAATAGTGATTTTCCCCCTACAGAGATAAATTACAACTTTGTTATTCAAAACCCCATTTAGGGAGGAAGCTTATGGATAATAAAATAATAAAATTACTCTTTAAAGTTTCATTTAAAATAACTTAAATATGTTCATTATTTTCAGGTAACTTATTGTTATATGGTTAGTCATGTACTGCATCACATCAGATTCATCAGCATTTTCACTTGTCATTGCATAGACTCAATCAAAATATTGTCACTCATTCATTTATTCATCCATCAATGTGACAAACATTTTTATTTTTAAGTCTAATCTAGATGTATATACAATAGTTTTTTTTTAAAAAATTGCCAGTAGTAAGGTAAACACATATACAAATAATCATAATGCATTGTAGAATTACAATTACATCATCCAAAGTGTTTAGAAATCAATGGGTCTCAGAGAAAAAATATCTCATTTGATGGACAGCGTCAGGGGGAAAATAAACAATGGAATAACTCTTCTGGATTTTGACAACTGGTAATAATTAGAAAGCCATTCTTCTTAGAATAAACTAGTATATGCAAAGGCATGGAAATGTAGAGAAATGTTTTGGAGGTTTTGATATTCAAAGATAGTCTTAAAAATAAAAGAAAATGTTCTCTTCTACTTGATTCCAGCTCATAGCAGCACTATAGTTTAGGATGCTTATTTACATAAAAGCTAATTATCAGACATGTTCTAGGAAATAGGAATTTGGAATTGCATTTGAAAGTATTTGTTACTTCATTGAATATTTTGCAGTAGGTAATGAACACAAATAATCGTTCCCCATTTATTGAAATTTGGGTAGACATTGTTATCATAGTTTTGGAAAGTAGAAAATATGTAAGAGCAACAATTAAGAACAGGGATGAAAAATATCAAGGACTTATTTGAGGAAGTGGAGAAGTTAATGAAAGAAAAAGATTGACCTGGACACACCTGAGTTCTATGGTTCTTGGTATCTAATACTTTATTTATCATAAATGAACAGGGAAAAAGATGTGATCTATGCCATGATGGAATACTTGACAGGAGAAGATTAGAGCACATCATGGTAAAGAGAAATAAAATCTCTTTTTCTGATCCGTTGATGCCAGTAGAATAGCTATAAGAAAGAAATCTCTCAAGTGTAAAAGCATCCAAAAGAAACCAAACCAGAATGATAGAGTTGTAATTTCTTGTAGGAGATTAATGGAATTTCACTTAGATATCTTATGGAAATGCCTTTATAGAAACTCTTTGAGGATTGAGAAGAGTCAGAATCAAAGTAATTAATGGTTTTAGGACATCTTCAATTATTAGCCTTAGTAGTTAGAATGTTATTACTGAATCAGTAATAGTTGTGCAATTATATTTTAATGTGCAATTGCTTGTAGTTCTGTAGGTAGCTTAGAAAAATAGGAGGAAAATTGGGGGACGGAAGCTGCAGGATTGTGGTCAATTTGAGCATTGTTGGGAAAATAAAGATCCAAAACTACTAAAATGTTAATTAATTAAATCTTCAATGTAGAATGCTATGGAATCTGTCAAAGTTTGGATAGTTCCTCCTGTAAAAGGAGACTTCTAAGATGGATAACAAGCTAAAAGGAATGGCATAGACAAAGGTCTGATGTATGATGTGTAGTGAGGAGAGAGAATTAGAAATGGATTTGTTGTTCTTAGGTGCTATGGAGTCGATTACAACTCATAGTGACCCAATGAACAACAGATCTGAACCCTGCCCTATCCTGTTCCATCCTCATCATCTTGGACACACTTATGCTTGTTGCTGCAGTTACTATGTCAATCCATCCCATTGAGGATCTTTCTTGCTTTCAGGAACCCTTCACCTTTCCAAGCATGATAATCCCTTTCTAATTAGGAATAGTGTCTGTTACAAAAGGCCTCTATTAGAAAAGGAGCAAGGAAAATCCTCTTATAGAAAAAGTTTTGGACACCTTTAATATTTTCTCCAAAATTCCAGGCAAGACTATTTGCTGAGAGTGAGACTATAGGATTCATCAAAAAAGAGTTTTCATATTATTTCATATGGGGGGATGCGGGGAAGTAATAAGTGTAGCGCTGTAAAAGTTCCAATTGCACTGCTAGGTTTGAAGTATTTCACAACTCTCAGATGTGTCTAATTGTAGCTCACTCTGTTTTAGGCGGTGTGGTTACAGCAAAGCAAAGCAAGATCCAGAAGAGGAAAAGATGCATTTTCATAATGGGCACAGTAAGCAAATTGTGAAATATAATGAAGTGATGAGGATTCATTCTTATTTTGGTTTCTTTTGTGGGAATTTCCATTAACTGACAAAAAAATGCAGTTCTTAAAATGTGTTTTGTTCCTTTCGTCTTAAGTATAACGACTTACAGTAATTCGGATTGGCTTTAGGCACTGATTGGACGGTATTCTCAGTTACTAGATGCACAGTTTCATTGTAATTATTAAAATGAAGCACTATGCTTAATACAAAAAGATGTGATTTAAACCATATTTCCTGGTATATTCTAATTCTTGATAACACTGTGAGTAGAAAATATTCTTTAATAGTATCATCATTTTAAATAAATACTCTCTTTTTCCTTTTAGCATTGTACCAGAAAATTTCCTGAACAGATCCTGATGTAGAAATAATATTTTAACTATCTAGAGAAAGGCTACATTTTAACACACACAAAAAATCATGTTTCTATAACTAGCTGTACAATTATCACCTGAATGAGTTCTAACTGTAGTATTTTGATATATTAGTTTTTCCATAAAAAGTATTATTAAGAATTTCAGTGAATTTATCTGCCAAGTAAATGAGAAAAGAAGTTTATTTTGGTTTTGTCACTATGTCATAATTGTAAAAATAAAAAATTGTTAATATTATAGTTCATGCTTAGACTCAATTTTCATAATGAAACATATTAAATCTTATATAAATCAAGCAGTGCCTTTAAAAGTGATAATTTTTTTACAGAATGTTTTAAAATTTTTATGTTATTTTACTATTGTGTGTGTGTGTGTGTGTGTGTGTGTGTGTGTGTGTGTGTGTGCTGTCAAATCGGATCTCACTGGTACAGGAGGAGATTACCCATCCTTCTCCAGCAGAGCATCTGGTGGATTTGAACTGTATGCCTCTGGGATTGCAGTGCAGTAGGCCACTAGAGCTCCCTTTAAAAGTGACAATTTTATGGTGGTACAAATTGCTCTTAGAAAAAGATTTGAAGTTCAGTCCTACCTTGAAGTAACGTAGAAGAAAGGTCTGGTGATCTACTTCTGAAAAGCAATTCATGGGGAACCCTATGTAACAGAATAGTCTGATATAAATGTTGTTACTGTGAGTTGGAATTAACTAGTATTAACTACTGTTAATTAAATTAAATTATTTGAAAAATACTAAAAATGACTATAATAAACTCAAAACTCAAACTCCCTGTTGTCCCATCTGTTCTCAGTTTGAATCTATTCAATCATGAGAAAGATAGGCATCAGGTTTTTGAGTTTGTAGATCTAAATGAAAGGTGACTATCTTTCTCCTGTGAAATTGCTAATGGATTCAAACTGTCAAATAAGTACAACCATTGGGTTAATAACATAAAATCCTGTGGATTACACCACTGTTTTTATACCTTCTCTTTGGAGCCAACTCATAGCTGACCTTCCAACATGTTTTCAGAGTCACACCAGAGAAGATTGTCCATGTTTCTCTTTTGGAGCAACTGGTGGATTGTAATTGGGGGTCTTAGGGTTGGCAATGTAACTCTTACCACCAGGCCACCAAAGCTCCCTGTTACCATTAAAATGCCCTAAAATTGTATAACAACAGAGATAGAATGAGAACTTTTTCTTTTAGCTTTTTTACCTAGCATTGTTGTACCACATCACTAGAAAGATTATATTCAATTGCTCTTTGTAAAACCCGCATTCTAACTACTAACTACTACTGTATTTCTAAATTAAATGACTGACTGCCATTGAATCGGATCCAACTCATAGCTAGCCCTCCTATAGGTTTTCATGGGAAGATACTGTCTATTTTTCTCCTGTAGAAGAACTAACCGATTCAAACTTCTTGCTTTGGATTAGAAGAGCATTTCCTAATCGATTAGGCTACCATAACTCACTTTTAAGTGAAATGTGTGATAAAAAATATAATAACCACTGGCTTTTCGTTGTTCAGTTTAGTGAGCAAAGTATATATTTATGTTTCTCTCAAAGCTGATAATTCGAACATTATCATTTACTGGTGAATTTTATCAGATATATTGTCAAAGTCACTATGGTGAGATAATGACATTTCTCATACATTCCAACAATCTGTTTCTACAACTCTAAAAGTGATTGTGTCATACAAGTAACACATCACACTTACTCTTATAACTCAGACAATTCTAGAGGTTAAGATAAGCCATACTAGCATTTCAATAAAGTTTAAAATTTCTCCATCCACCATAACCATATCTATATCAATGTCTATTTGTTTTTATAGTTAAACTGCCAGGAGTAAGAACTTATATTGATCCACATACCTATGAGGACCCCAATCAAGCTGTCCATGAATTTGCCAAGGAGATAGAAGCTTCATGTATCACCATTGAAAGAGTTATTGGAGCAGGTACAGTAACTCTTAACATGTTTTTGTTTGTAATGCACATGTAATATGCCAATATATTTATTTAACAGAAACATTTTTAATCTTTGATAATTGGCTAGCATTCAAAATTAGTATATAATTGATCATATTTTAATGTTACCTCCTGTATAGTTCATGCTTAATCAGCAAATGCTTATGCATCACGAGCTACTACATGTAATATTCCTCTTTGCAAGCATGTTGTTGTTGTTTATGGTAAAATCAAAACAGACCCATAGCTCACCCTCTGGCAGATTTTCAAAGGCAGTTAGTTGAGGGAGACGATTGCCCATCCTTCTTCCACAGAGCAGCTGGTGGCCTTGAACCGTTTTCCTTTGGAATTGCAGTTCAGCTTCTTGCCACTAGGCCACCAGAGAACACTGCAGAAAAAAAGAGAACATTGTAAAATCTAGTTGCCCTTCCACAGCTCCCCAGCTGAGGTTAAAATAATTAGCCAACTCTCTGCCTTCTATATTAAGTTTCCTTGCTATTAAAGAAATTTTTCATTTCATTATATGTTAAATGCCCTATTTTCCATGTTTGTGCTTTTCATTGGTAATTTTAGGGGATTTCACAAACAAAATGGCTTAAAGAGCATAGTATTGTACTTTCTTGTGTTTCCAAATGCAAAAATGTGCTAATGTGCCTTATGGACAAAACCGTATCTTAGTTATGTTTCGCTTACATGTAAGTTATAGTCCTCTTAGCCATGCTTTCGGAAGATGTTAATGAATCAAAAATATATCATGATTCATAAAATATACTGTGAACTTTTCAATATAAGCGCACATAGAGAACAATTATGTACTGACTGATTGATTGATGAAAATGTGTCCAAAGGCTCAGAGGAACCTAGGAAACTAATACCCAGTATGTCTCTTATGAATTCAGTATTTACAATATATTATCTAAGGCAACTTGGGAATATACACCTGATACAGGCCATGCTTTTTGCAGTCACTTGTTATGCATCAGAGAATTGGACAATGACTAGGGAGGATAGAAGGAGAATTGATGCCTTTGAGCTGTGGTGCTGGAGAAGAGTATTGAATGTACCATGGACTGACAAGAAAACAAACAGATTCATCGTAGAGAGGGTTAAACCAGGCTGCTCCTTGGAGGCAAGGATTCTGGGGCTTTGTCTGACATACTTCGGACATGTTGTAAGGAGAGACAGGTCTTTAGAGAGTGACATCATGCTTGGTAGGGTGGAGGGACAGCGCAGGAGGGGAAGACCCCTCTATGAGGTGGATTGATTCAGTAACTGGGGTACTCGGGATGGGTGTGTCAGAGGCAATGCGATTGGCACACGATAGAGCACGGTTTAGGGCTGTTGTACATAGGGTCGCTATGAGTCGCAAACGACGCGACGGCACATAGCCACAACAACAACAACAACATGTGTATTTGGAGATACATAGATCTGTATATATCTAGACCTCAAGATAGAGCTAGCTCATAGCTTTCCTTCCATTGATTTCTGAGGTATAAATTGTGTGGAGGAGAATTTCCATCGTTCTCCCCTGGAGCCCCTGGTGGATTAGAAGTGTCAGAGAGGTATTAACATTGGGTTAGCTGTGCAATTCCCTATGGACTATGCTTATGCCTACCTCTCCACCCCCCATCTCTCTCTATTTATATATCAGAATCCTAACTCTATTGACAATAAAATCCACTCTTTTTAAAAAAGTATTTTCTTTTTATTCAGCTATAACATTTTCATCTTTTAATTAATCGTTATTTCTGCTAATAGAAAAAATAGAAGAAATAATTATAAATTGATATCTCACCTTCTATTATGATATTTGCAGGTGAAATGAACGAAAATGACTACTAGAATATTTTCTATTCATCAATTTTCAAACATAAAATTTCTATTAATAATCTATTTTCACTCTAAATGTAAACTCTAAATGTAAATGATAACAAAACCTTTGAAATAAAACCCTCATTTATATTTATTTGTAAAAACTAAAAATGAATAAGTTATTCATAACCAAAGCCAAGCTATTTAGAACCTTAATGCTACAAAAATACATTCAAGTTGTATACTCTAAATGAATTTGTGCTTTCTTTGTTTTGCTTTTCTTTTGAAAAGGTGAATTTGGTGAAGTTTGTAGTGGGCGTTTGAAACTTCCCGGAAAAAGAGAATTACCTGTGGCTATCAAAACTCTTAAAGTGGGCTACACTGAAAAGCAACGGAGAGATTTCCTGGGTGAAGCCAGTATTATGGGGCAGTTTGATCATCCTAATATTATCCACTTAGAAGGTGTTGTAACCAAAAGTAAGTATAAAGGCAAAGTATGTTCTTATGTGTGGTTCTTTGACATGCATAATCTCAATTCTTTCTAGTAGGCTATCATTAATTTCAAAACCAAGAGGAACTTGTCTTTAATACTGGTAATAACGAATTTACTGATATTAATAATAAATTAGCTTTTAAAAATAGTATCTAACCTGATATTTATAGATATAAATTTTGTAATTATTTTTAAAATACATATCTTAATCTATAGGCTATGAATTTTGAGTTCAAGAATGTGTAACCAAATGAAAGAAATAACAATTGCCTTCATTCAGCCTAGATAATTCATGTTTATTCTAATAAAATAATAACTTCAAGCTTTAATAAAATCATGAAAATTAACATTCAATAGAATTCTTAGGAACAGAGATATCTACATTCTTTTTAACTTTTTTGCAGCCAGTTTATCTATTTATTACCCATTTTTCACTGAGGTATTTTAATATTACTAGGGTAAAAAATTCTGCATATAAATTGAAAAGGTATGGAGAGAGGACGCATCCCTGATGTACTCCTTTCCTGATTTTGAACCATACAGTGTTTCCATGCTCTTTTCTATGGACTGCTCCCTATTTCAAGTATAGGTTTCACATAAGAACAATCAAGTGTTCTGGGATTCCCATTCTTCTCAAGGTTAGCCACAATATGTTGTGATCCTAACAGTCAAATGCCTTTGCCTAACCAATGAAACACATAGACATTCCTCTTGTACTCTTTGCTTTCTGCCAAGACCCATTTGACACTGGCAATAATGTCTCTACTGCCAAGACCAGCCTTGCATTTCTAGGAGTTCTCTGTCAAGGCTCTGTTCCAGTCATTTCTGGATAATCTTCACCAGGATTTTGCTTGTGTATGATATGATATGATATGATATGATATGATATGAGATATGAAACACAACAACGTCGTTTTAGAGACTGAAGTGCACCTAATCCAGGCCATGGTCTCATAGTTACTTGTTATGCTTCAGAGAGCTGGACAATGACAAAAGATGGTTAAAGAAGAATCAATGTCTTTAAGTTGTGGTGCTGGAGAAGAGTCCTGAACATACCATGGTCTGCCAATAAATCAAAGAAGTCTGTCCCAAATTTCTCCTTGGAGGTTAGGATTTTGAAGCTCCATCTCACATAATTTGGGCATGTGGTCAGGAGGGAATGGTCCTTGGAGAAGGACATCATGCTCAGAAGGGTGGAGGGACAGCATAGGAGAGGAAGACCTTGGATGAGATGGATTGATACAGTAACTGGGGACATGGGGTTAGGTGTGTCAGATTCAGTTAGACTGACTTAGGACAAGGCAAGCTTCAGAGCTGCTGTACATATGGTTGCTATGGGTCACAGTGACTCAACGGCACATAACAACAGAAAAACATGATATTAATGATAGTATTTGGGCATTTCCACATTTTTCAGGTCACCATTTATCTTTTTTTTTAATTGAGAATAAATTTGGATCTCTTCCAGATAGATGGCCAGATAGATATCCTCCAGATTTCTTAGCACAACCTGGTGAGCACGTACAGGGAATAAACAAACTAAATTAAAATTAAAAAAAAAAGAAGATGAAGATTCTCATTATTGGGCCAATTGGCAGCACCATGATGGACGGAGAAGAAATTGAGTTTTTTAAAAATTAAAGCTTACTTGCTCTACAAACTCTTGGAACCATTAGTCAGAAATCAAAAGATAAAGTGCACTGGGAAACTGCTCTCAGGGAACCCTCCAGAGTACTGAGAAGCACTAATGTCAATCTAAAAATTAAAGTGAATCTGATCCAGGCCATGGTCTTTGCAGTTACTTGCTATGTATCAAAGAGCTGAACAAAGACTAAGGATGACGCATCAATTGATGTCTTAGAGTTGTGGTGCTGGAGAAGAGTCTTGAACATACCATAGATTGCCTAGAAAACAAATAGGGATGTGTTGTTTCAAAGGAGTAGAACAGAAGGAAGACTAGCAAAGTGAAATGTGAGAGTCAAGAGCTCGCTTAAGTTAATGACCACAAGCAGCTTCAGAGCCCCTACATTTATTAGCAAAATATTAAAGCATACAGCAAAGCATGATTTCATAAAATGGGTAACTGCCTTCCAAGAAGTTAACCTGGGTAATGGTGACCCATATGGGACATAAAATAATTAGGTTTGAATAGTTTCCCAGGTGACATCATTGTCCTCATAGAATAGTTTTACTCTATTCATAACAGTATTATCAAGAACCTCAGAAACTTTTCATGTTTAACTAAAACTTCTTGTCTCCTTCACGATAGTAGGTGCTCCAAGAGTCTGAGACTGCTTTCAGTCCCACCTATCTTGGCATCTTCGCCTGCTTTCAGGCAGTACAGCCAAGTCCTTTTGCATGTACTACATGGCCATTAAAATCTTCAGTGAACTATAGTAACTACAGGGATGTCTTGGAGAGGGTTAAACCAAGTTTCTTCTTGGAGGCTAGGATTTTGAAGCTTCGTCTCACATATTTTGGGCATTTGGCCAGAAGTGACAGGTCCTTGGAGAAGATCATCATGCTCTGGAGAGTACAGGGACAGTTTAGGAGAGGAAGATCTCAGATGAGATGCATTGATGCAATAACTGGGGCAATGGGGGGTAGGTGTTTTGGATTTAGTGAGACTGGCTCAAGACAGAGCAGGCTTTAGAGCTGTTGTTCTACGCAGGGCCACTATGAGCAGCAGGTGACTTGATGACTCATAACAACAATAACAGAGTTACCAATAGCTAAAAAAAACCCCAAATTTTCAAAGATCCCTAAAATTTATTATTTGTTAAAGAAAATTTAGTATTACTCATAACGATCTATTTGAATTTTATATTTCCTGTGTTGGTAATGAATGTGTATGACAAATCACAATATAATTTTTTCAAATAATTTTCTTTCAGTCATGTAATGAAATATTCATGTGGTGCATAGCTGAAGTAATATTTTATTTTACTCTAGTCTTCTTTGACATTTCAATGTATTCTCAATTTCTCATATTTCCCTCATACTGTACATGCTTTTGATTAGCTATAACTCATAGCAAATTTCTGTACAATAAAATAAAATCTTGCCTGGTCCTTCCATGCTCTTAAATGGATCAGTGCTTACTACCATTGTTGCAGTCACTATCTCAATCCATCTGCTTGATGGTCTCCTTCTCCTTTGATAACTCTTATTTATTTAGAATATTGCCTTATTTTACCAAGAATATTGGCTTTTTAAGTCACTGATTAGCCACTTTTTTTGTGTGTGATGAAGTATTTATTGCACCAAGGAGATAAAATTAGGTTAGAATACAAATACAAGTCCTTCCCTACTAAAAGTCATGAAAGCTTAATCCTTATTTGAGATGCTCCCTATCCTAGGACACAGCATCCTGCTGTGCTGTAATTCACATTATAGAGGATTCTAGTCCATTGCTCACAAGTCTGTAACAACAGCCTACATTACCCATAGTCATGTGAGTCATTTCCCTGATGGGTTTGAGTTTCTGTGAGGCCTTACAATAAGTCACAGGACCCAAAGGACACAAAGGAGTTGGGGAACTGAGTGAAGAATTAACAGATGATTTTAGAAATCATAGAGTGGTACATAAATCAAACATCTGGAACACTATTGACTTCTGACTTTTAGTTGCTACTCTGCCACTTATTTTAGTACAACTGATTGTAAATTCAGTGTCCTTCTTCAGGGACTAGTCCCTCCTGACAACGTACCCACAGTGTGTGAGAAAATCTCATGTTTGGTTCTAAAAAAGCACTCTGGCTGCATATCTCCCGAGACAGATTTGTCTGTTCCTTTGGAATTCTATTCATTTTATTATACTTTACCAACACCATAATTCAAGGGCAAACATTAATTTTTAGTCCTTATTCATTGTCCAACTTTCATATTCATACGAAGCATTTTAAACCCTATGGCTTAGTTTGGGCACAACCTAAGTCTTCTTTGAGCACTTTAAAAAAATCCTTAGCATTTGATTTGTCCAATGCAATATGTCATTTGAGTGCTTGAAAGCTTCTTCATGGATGTTTATTTTGGATACAAGTAGTATAAAATCCTTACAATGTCAATATTTTCTTTTATCTGATGTGATCTGTTGATCGAGGTGTGAAGATTTTTTTCTGTGTTATTTTGAGTTGAAGGCTATTTTGAGTTTGTCATGATCTTCACCACTAAATACATCACTTAAGTTTATCTAACAACCCTTCCATGGTTTATTATTTTGATTTATTTCCAAATGCATGTTTAATATGCATTTTAATCAAGCTTTAAATTATATATTTCAGCTGTGCCTACAAGCAATAAATAATAAATAAATATTATTAAATGACTGTACAATTTAAATTTATTTAATTCTTATTTAGACCATATGACTTTTAAATACTGACAAAGAACAAGGCAAAACAAGCAACAGAAAACTTCTGTGTCAATTTCTATGTCCGTAACACTGAATTATAATAGAACAAATCAGAATACTCATCTAGTATATAAAAAATTTTAAACTTTTAAAATTAAAATATTCTAGATGACAATGTACAAACCCTTCTCCAGACTTCAGTAAAAAAAAAATATTGCATTTCTCATTGACTGAATATTAGCCTGCATTTTTAGATTTGTTTATCAACTTCGCCTTTATAATTCAAAGAAATGAACATCTTCAGTAAGAAAATTCTTTGTAAAATGTAGCAAATAAGCACACATAACCTATATTCTTCCAGGTTTCCTAAAAACAGAGATGTTTCTTAATTTAGTTGGTGTAACAGTACTGTGGTGTTAGCCTAAAAGTTGCCTTTTTAAGCCATTGCAATTATTGCCTTCTGCTCTCCAGCAAACTTAACTGCAGTTAAATGGACTTGCAAATCCCAACATTTGTGAGAGTAGGATAAGAGAAAGAATGCTTCCCACACCAGGCAACAGGACCTAGAGTTGGGCAAGACTTGCTTGATAAACCTCTTTCTCAATACAACAACAATGAGTCTGTGAGTCA